GGGAGTACGATGGGAGGACGGGAGTACGATGGGAGTACGGGAGTACGATGGGAGTACGGGAGTACGATGGGAGTACGGGAGTACGATGGGAGTACGGGAGTACGATGAGAGTACGGGAGTACGATGGGAGTACGGGAGTACGATGGGAGTACGGGAGTACGTGTTTTCCCCCTTGGAATCAGTCTAATCTATCTTGTTTGATGCCATTCATTGTGATTTGATTCAGTAGAGTCACACCGAAGGCTCTTCTATATATCAATCTTCCATAAAAATAGAAGTTTTCCGTTAAAAGAGTAATGTTTTGAAGGAGGAAATCATTTCTTTTCACACCCTTTGTAATCTTGACTCTCCTTTGAAACTTTGCCTAGGTTTCACTTAAACTTTTTTTGTATAAATGTTCTATTGTAATGAATAGCGACGAACACTTCAACTGCAACTACGATTCCGACTACAACTACAACTACGATTCCGACGACAACTGCAACTACGATTCCGACGACAACTACAACTACGATTCCGACTACAACTACAACTATAACAACTACTCAAGAGCCTGGTAAGCTTTAGCCTAAGACTTCTTGAACTTGAGGAATACTAATTTTTAGTCAGGTACATGTAATTGCTTTGTATGCAATAATATTCTGTAGTTATATGAAGGCTATATTGATAATATCAGCGATCGTGTAAGATGAATGATTCAGTCTTTAACATAAGGAAAAATCAAGTAATATTAATTACTGGGCTAGCTGTTCCTCGTCAGTGTGAAGGTCTGCTATGTTTTGTTAACATCTAGAAAATATGAACTCCATTCTTCTTCTTCATTAGGTGTTGCGACAGATGATGTTCTTTTATACAACATTCTAAAAAGTATACTTTATTCTAAAGTCATATTCCTTCAATCTCTCGTCTGCGGAATAGTTTTTACTACTAGGATCGCAGAAAGTTGTTTTATTGTTTCCGGGAGACAATAAACATGTCACAGTCAATTGATTAAAGACTCGTCCAAACTAATTCGTTGATCGTTTACAAGGTTCGGTAGAATAGGTGCAGAGGAGTTTGAATCATTAGGTGCACTTCATGCGTGTCACTTAATTCACTTAAATCAACGGGACATATACTTTACCTATGCCAAAAAAAAACAGATGGACTCGTGCTCTACTAGCAGTTTTTTTTGTGCTCATTCACTAGAAATGGGAAAGACACGTATTAGAAGCTCTTTTTTAACTCCCCTCAAATCGACTATCAAATACGCCAATGAACAAAAAAGTTTACCTTATAGAAAAAGTATGTCTGAACTGTTCACTTGATATTTGTCAGGATTTGGATGGTGTAAGGTATTTTTAAACAGTATGTAGTTACAATCTGCAAGTTTTTCGAATTTTAAGAGGCCATGGATACGGCTTCGTGTAATTTTCAAAGTTCATCTGTTTTATCACAGCATATTACTTGAATACTCTGCTAGTGATTTGATGGTACTTTTTGTAATGACACATGAGGAACAGAAAATAGCCTGAATGATAATAAAATATGACTATCGTTTTTTATTGTGTTGCATCACTATTCGGATATTGCTGCTTAGTTGGAAAATAGATGTATTTGTAGAGAAAAGGTCATCTATTATGAATTATTCAATTGAGAGACACGTTATTTTTTAGGTATTGATAACTAATAATTCAATCTGCCATACGAAACGAAATTATCTTTTATGATTTCTCACTCTTTTAATAGCCTCAACATTTGCGATGGTTCCCTGGGTGCGGAACAATTATCATATTGAGTATTCTTAATATTTAATATTCCTGAGATTTTTCTTTCACAGGTCTTGAATAGGGTATACTTACCTATGGTATAAATGTAAGGATTGTTACAAAAACCTTTTAAGATTAAAAGAAACTCTTTTATGTACAATGCGTTCGAAGAAAACGCTCTCAACATTCTCAAATACAGTTTGGAAAGTGCAATTTACTTTTCTCAACGAAGAAAATTTCATTCGTAGTACTTTCACGAGAGAAGAGCGCATCGCTTCGACAACGATGATAACTCCTTGTCTTTTCATTTATTTCAGTAGTTCCCATCGTTCCAGTTGATGCTCGATGGTCAAAAATAGGTGTCACTGTTGCTGGAGGCAATGGTAGGGGCATGGCCACCAATCAACTTAATGGTCCACTGGGCCTTTTCATTGATGATGATCAAACGATGATCATCGCTGACACAGGCAATCATCGTGTCATGCAATGGACGGTGGGTGATAAAAATGGTCAAGTGGTAGCTGGTGGAAATGGGCGAGGAAATGATTTACATCGATTGGATTCTCCAATCCACGCGTTGATTGACAAAGCGACGGACAGTCTTCTTATTTGCGATCGAGGAAATCGACGAGTCTTGCAATGGTCTCGTCATGAAGGCACTACTCATGGAGAAATTCTCCTCAACAATATCAGTTGTTGTGGATTGGCCATGGATGATCAGAGATATCTTTACGTCTCTGATGTCGATCAACATGAAGTCAGACGATATAAAGTAGGAGAAAGAAATGGAATTGTTGTGGCTGGTGGCCATGGCAAAGGATTTGGTCTTCATCAACTTAACGACCCATTCTACATTTTTGTCGATCGAGAACAAACTGTATATGTGTCAGAGACTTCCATTCATCGTGTGGTGAAATGGTATAAGGGTGCAAAAGAAGGAATTATCGCCGCTGGTGGTCATGGCGTAGGGAATACTATGCTACAATTTACGTATCCTGAAGGATTATTTGTTGATGCGTTGGGCACTGTCTATGTGGCAGACCAGTATAATCATCGAGTAATGCGCTGGACAAAAGGAGCAAGCCAGGGTACAATCGCTGTAGGTGAATATGGCAAGGGTGCGACACAATATAACTTGAACATGCCTTACGCTGTTTCACTCGGTAGATATGGTGATCTTTATGTTGTCGATAACAATAATAATCGCATTCAACGTTTTTCTCTTGAAAAAAACATTTGATATCGATTAGTTTTTTTATTTGCCTGAAGAAAATAAAGATTAATGACAAAGGAATATCTATTCAAGGAAGAATAAAGTTTTGTTTTTATTTTGTTTGGGTGCCTGCGCTACCAAGAAGCTGTTTGGTGATGCTGTGGCAGCTAGAAGATCATTCATGAACCAGGCAGACTCAAACACATGCCATGCTTCTTGCTCCTCAGACTCTGCGATGAATGTTGAGAATTAAAAGATCATTTATATAATACCATCCCACTTCAATGGGACCCATCTCACGACTTATTGAGCTAATACTGTAGGATGCCCTATCAAGTAAATAATAGGGAAGTGGTCATCAAAATGCACATAGATTGATTCGGAAATGGATGGGTGTGGGTGTACTGGCTTCAGTTCAACTCACACCCACACCCATACGCTAGAGAGTCCACATACTAAAATAAAATATGGTGCACACGCCATCACACATGTATGACAACTAAAATGTGTCGTGTACTGTCTACTAACTATGCGGTGGCCGTTTTGCTTTTCGTACACATACATATAAGACTGTTCGATTGAACATACGTAACAGAGGTCCAACCAGGCCGCATTTATGCAGGCCTGGCCGGCCTATGACAGGCCTCTGAATTCCAAGCCTGCATGTGCCTGCCAACTTATTTGTTTGGCCTGGCCTGCCTGCCTGGCATTTTCTTCG